GTTGCTTTAGCCTTGTCCACCAATGTTGTAATCCCATCACAAAATGTCACCAGATTGGTCAGGCATGATTTGCCCTTGGTGAAGCCATGTTGGTTGTCATCAATCATCTTCTCATTCTCCATGTGCCTTAGCATAGTTTCTAGGAGTATCTGCTCCGTGATCTTGCCTGGCACTGAGGTTCTGCACTTCCAGGCTGAAGTACTAGACTGGAGCTTGCTGACTTGAAGGCTTGTCTTCTCAAGGATTTTCCTTTGTACTGTTTTTGGCCAGTTAGGGATAATTGTTCAACAGTTAAGTCCTGCTTCCTCCCCTCCTGCTTGTAATTATTCTTTAAAGTTTATTGCTCTTTGTTACCAAGGCACACACCCACGTATCAAACAGAAGTAAATTAATTTTAAAAGTCGTGTTCTAAGAAGAGCCTTTGTGTTGCTTTCCAGTTCTCAAGGCTTTTTTAACTCAAAAAGTATGTGAAGACATCTCTTCCTCCCTCCCTTTCCTTAGGGCATGTATTGCTGTGGCAAATGATTGTTTGGTTTTGTGAGAGTTTTTTAAATTGTTGTTGTTGCTGTTCATATGTGACTAGATACTATGATTCATTTCTAACCTTGCTATGTGACTGTTTTATTTACACTTTTTCTAGCATTTATTTGTCCTTTTTCAGCTACATTTCAGGTTTTTAACAGAACAGGTTAACAGAACAGAACTTCTAGAAAATCCTTCTCGAAGATTCCTGGGAAGATTTCTGAACTGCAGGGTAAAAATCAGGAATTAAAAGAAAAGGAACAGTTAAATATTTAGGTTTCTTGGCTAAAAGCACAGGATAACCAAAAGTTTTAATGCAAATTTTTTCTGTGCTATGCCTCCAGAAGCCATGTTCCTGATGGTACAGGAGCTGTAGTTTCTACTTAAGGAATTGTTATTAATATATTTAACTCAGTGGCTGAAACCTCACCATATTTATTGACTGCTAGAGGTGGTGCTTAAATAAGAAACAACTGCTTCTGCTATTCTGAAAGTTTTGATTCAAAAATATATTTCAAAGTCAATTAAATATTAATGAAATAATATGATAAAACTTGTGGATATTTTTTCAGTGAAAAATTTTGGTGTTTGGGTTGCTTCAGTATTTTAATTATTTATTTAGCATTTACTAAATAAATTACCTGTATAGTTAAATTCAGAATGCTTAAAAGCTGACTGGATAAAGTATATCTGTAAAAGTGTTGCTGCACAAAACTGATAATGAAGAATCCCAAGCAGACTATGATTATGAGAACTGAAAAATGACTTTTAAGATGAAAGGAACATTGGTAATAGTCTCTCCATAACAGAAGTTTGTCAATGGCAAAGAAAATCCTCTTCATCAAAACTATGGGGATTTTGTTTACTCTTAGTTTATTAGCATAGGATGGGGGCAGCAGGTTGATTTGAAACTAAGCAGGGAAGCAGAGGTGTGAACATGATTTTAACTGCTCCTTCTCAGTCCCTGAACAGAAACAAAGTAGGCTTAAGTTTTGTATGAGGCTAGATTGTTTTCTTTTGCAAGCGAGACTTGCGTGCAGCTTCTCCTCTAATTTTAAGACAAATTAGTAGAGATTGATCTTGATGGGATTTTTTTGACTATTTGAATAAAGTATTCCCTTGCATTTTGCATCTTTCCTACTCAGCCTGTAACCTCCTAAGTCTCAGAATGGCAGCAAGTAGCAGCTTTAAAAGCTTGCAAACTTTTAATAGCATGTTTTAAGTCAGTCTCATTTGTGAAGCATTACTGAGCTTTTGAATGTGATTTATGATCACCTGTAATGAAAGTCAGAATTATGTTTGTGCTTGACACTTGCATGCCAACTTTCCTTTCTTTCTTGAGTCTCATTGCCTTTAAACATTATGAAGCTATTCTGAGTTTTTTGTGAGCTATAGTTGCTACAAAGTCACTAGCTACTGTGTAGAGCAAAGTCGAGGCTGACAATATAGGAAGTATGGATTTGTAAACAAATGTGACCTTCGTGTTTTGTGGTGTAGCTTTGTCACTGAGATGGCATGGATGATGCTGAAAACAAAGAAATTAAAAGAATTAAGCTTTCCCTGTGTTCTTATATCCACTGGTGTATACTTGCTGTGATATTGACCTTATCTTTCCATGTTAAGATCAAGCTCTGTTTTATTTTTAGGAGGATAGCATTGTGTTTAAAATGGAAGTTGACATAAATGGAGAGTCCAGAACTACCCTATCCACTCTCCCTGTGCCTCTTGCAGAGGTGGGCCCTGCAGGAAGGATGGAAGCAGAGAAGCCCCGCTGTTCCAGTACCCCCTGCTCACCAATGCGACGAACGGTTGCAGGATATCAGATCCTTCACATGGATTCTAACTACTTGGTTGGCTTCACAACTGGAGAGGAGCTGCTAAAACTAGCCCAGAAGTGTACAGGAAGTGAAGAGAATAAAGGGGAATCTGGGCCGAACTTGCGCTCCAAACAACTTGATTCAGGACTTACACGTTCCTCCCGTTTGTGCAAAACTAGAAGTAGGTACTATCAGCCATATGAGATCCCAGCAGTAAATGGAAGGAGGAGGAGACGGATGCCCAGCTCAGGGGATAAATGCACTAAGGCTTTACCATATGAACCTTACAAGGCACTTCATGGTCCCCTGCCCCTTTGCCTTTTGAAAGGTAAAAGGGCTCATTCAAAATCCCTGGACTACCTCAATTTAGACAAAATGAGCATTAAGGAACCTGCTGACACGGAAGTGCTACAATACCAGCTCCAGCACCTTACCCTCAGAGGGGACCGTATGTTTGCAAGAAATAACACATGAGCTATCGTCTCGACTTAAGAACCAATTTCTAATTATTTTTCTGTTGCTGCAAAAATACACTGTTGTACTGTATATGTGACTGTCTGCATTGTAGGGGATTGTATCAGCTAAATGTTATCAGAAAGTAATTTATTTGAATAGAATCTTGGCAATGCAGTGTGTTACAAATACTCAGAGGAATGTATCTTTCCTGAGCAAGCAGCTTCTGATGCAAATTGAACTGCAAGTGGTGGATATTTTTTTGGAAACCTTTTAACAAAAAAAAAAAAGCTTTTGATTTTTTGGGTGTGGTTGGTTTTTTGTTTTTTTTTTCTTACAATTAGAGTATTTACAGTAATTTAACACTGAAAAATTGGTGGTGTCTGCTTGGTTGTTGCTAATTTTGGCTTGATGTTAGAATCTGCTCTTGGATTAGGAGGGTTTTTTGGTTTACTTTTTCTTCCTGTATTCTACAGTACAATGTATGTATTATTTTTTTACATCGTGGAGAGGAAAGTGAGCTTGGCTAAATTGAATCGTGCTATTTAAACAATCCAGTTCAAAGATTTTCCAACTGCACTTGCACTGGTGATGAGGGTGAAATTCACTCAAAACAAACCTTTGCTACTTGAATGCTATTAAATTATGTTTTAGTTTCTGCATGGAAGTAATTGGTTTGCCTCCTCTGTTCTATCTTGTTCAGGATCAGTATTTGGGATATTAAAACCAAATTTTTGGGGGACTGAAGCCTTTTTTGTATGGGTGTGTTAATGGGATTTGTGTGTTACATTGCCTTCACACACGAACAAGGATTAGATTCAGACTGCAGGAAATACACTGGAATGTTTGCATTGGTATGTCAATGTTTTTTATTTCTGTATTGTGTATAATAACAGAAGGTATCACATAACTTCAGCATTGCTTTTGAAATTCAGTTGAGCTGAAGCACTGAACACTTGTGATCTGGAAAGCTGATTTTTTTTGGTTTGGTTTGTTTTTTTATGAAATGCAAGTGAAGTATTTCTGTATCAGCATTGAAGAGGTGATACTGGATTATTCAGCCGAGTAGGTTGAATGCACTGGCTTAGTTTGTTACTTAAGAATTTTTTATCCAAATATGACATGAAATTTAGTTTTGACAGCTGTTTTCCTAGATGTATTTAAAACATTTTAGTAACTTATGTTTAAAAATGAAAAATAGTTTTCAGACTTTTTTTAGGTGCAGTCTTTTACTGAAGTGCGCAAATTGGTTTTGGCTGATGACATCTGCAGAAGTAGTTAAAAATAAGGTCACATTGTTTCAAAACAAATTATTTGATCAGTTGTTTCTGGTAGAATTAAGATTTTGTTTGTTTGTTTATAATTCAGAATTAACAGGAAGCACTACTTAGTGCATGAGCTATGGAAAATGAAGAGTTCTGCTCATTCTGGCATTTACTACACCGTTTTAAATGGAGGTAGCCCTGTAGTCTGCATTTTGCTGGTTTGGTTGCCTTTTTTAAGGTTTATTAGAATCCTTGCAACAAACCAATGTGTATTTTTAAAAGTTGACTACACCTCTGTAAATTTAATGTATTGAACAATGATCTTGAAAATAAAATCTTCCTATATAGTCTTTAGTTTGAAAAAACAGAATATGGTCAGATGCCAAAGAGATGGGGGTTTTGTTTAAAGAATGAACACCACCTTTTATTGAAATACCCTATGAAATTTTATTTCTGGTTGAAAAATAAAAAGGGTGGTATAAACACCTATTGTTGTAGAGTCTTTTGCTATGTAGGAGAAAGAAGACTTTTAAAAAATACAGCTTTAGATCAGGGATGATTTGAAAACAACGTTAAAGCAGGTATCTTTGACTTTTGTGAAGCAGATGCTTAGGTTTGTTACTTTTTTCAGGAAATGGCCCATGCAGTTATTAAAATTTCCTGCATGTTTCTAATGTCATCCTGTGCCATAATTCTGTGCTACACTAAGAGGGGGGTTAATGGTTATCTAGCTAAGTTGAAACATAAAAAATATGCTAGTACTTTATTTGTTTGTTAATTTGCTCATGAAGGTGCTTACATGTGGTAGTATTGTTTGCTTAACTCATAAACAGTTGCAGCTCTCCTAGCATATCTTCATTCAAGAATCAAATGTTTTGCAAGTTTTGTTAGTAACATTCTTTATCAGAACTCTTAAATCCATGAGGAGTTCCTGTTTTTACCTCTAAAGTAAGCAGAATCTCAGCCAAATGAAAGCTTTTGATCTTATCTTATTTTTGCTGCTTATAGTGTATTCTGTTAAACTAATCTATTAAAATCAAACATGAGATGGTTCTTCAGACTGTTAAAATTAAATTGAATATGAACAATACTGACCTTTCAAAGCGATTTCTTACTCTTCTTGTAATAAATTAAAAGAAAAAAGAAAAAAAAGCCTCCAAAAAATGTTTCCTTGTCTGCTTTAGGACAAGAGTGAAGGTTAGAAATGAGACAGTGTAGTAACGTGAATCTTGCATTAACAGGCTATTAACACTAACGCAGGTCTGGAATCAAGTGCAAATGTATAAGCTCAGATACTGAGGCAGATTTTATATTCAGGCACACTGCTGGCATTTTCTTTAAAAATATACTAAAAAGGATTGATACAAAATCCATTCTTTTATCTCGCTGTTTTCTTCATTTGAGGTGTAAACTTGTAGATGCTCTTGTCCTGCTGTTATGGTTTGTATTTACAGCTGTACACAGTACCTAACTGACATTATGGTTTTCTTTACCTTCTCTTTGTCCATCCATTGTATTCTGTCTCCTCCTTTCTCTTGGGTGATCATCTCTCTTGCTGAGCATGTTTACTGTAGTGGGGATTGTTAATTGCAGACTATGGCTGCAAGACAATACTGCAAAATAAGTAACAGACAAACTTAAAATTTTCTAAAACTGCTTTCCTGGATGTGTTTCTCTGCTGGGAAAAATAGAGGAATGGAGAAAAGTTAGTTTTAAACTGCTGAAAAATACAGATGTTGCTGTTGGGACATGAAGAAAAGGTCTCAGTAGTTTAGGGCTTGGAGCATAAATAATTTCATTATTTTGTGGACAAATAAGAGGACAAATGTAATTTTTTACAAAGAATTCCCAGAGAAGAGCAGAAAGGCTATGAGCTGCATAAAAAAACTTCCAAAGTCTACAATATCTTCAGAAATATCAGCTGATTTTTTTTATTATTTATCAGTTTTGATAAAGGTAGGTGAATATTTGTAGTAGTAGGAAGGGCAATACTGCTGATAGGATAGACCAAGCAAAGAATTGTTAATAGATAACATAACTGTTGTTTCTGACTCTTTCAATAGTACTGAAGAATCTGAAACAAATTATCCAACATACATAATCAAATTTTGATGTTATGGATGTTTGGGAGGGTGATCTGGCTGGTCAGTTATGAATGTTAAACATCTTAAAGAGGTAAGTATGCTAAAAAGAAAAAATGGAAGAAATTATCCCCAGTGAGAAAATAAGCAGAAAAAATAGAAAAAAATATTTATTTAAGAGGAAGACATATCCTAAAGTAGAGCTACGTTGCAGAAGTTAACTAAGTCATTAAGCTGTTGTAGGAAAAATGCAGATCTAAAATTGAAAAATGTAGATTTATTACAATGCTACTAACTTAAAAGACAATGGAAAGCTTGGCAGCCAAGAGTAAAAGTGCACATTTCTTTGCATGTTATCTGAGCATTTGGCAAATGCAGTTTTATTGGTGATTCTTTCTGGGAACTGACTGTTTGCGTTAATGATTTTCAGTGATTTCGTCTGCTAATTGGGACATCAGTTTCCATGGTCGGTGATTACACTGAACACTGCAAGAGTGGCAAAAACATGTGTCTGATAGGTCCTCAGAAGAACACAATGTTTGGATTATTGATTTCTTTTTTTTTTTCCTCCCCTGTATCACACCACATTTTTTTAGCCAGAGGTTAATTCCAACTTTGCAAGTCCTTGAGAACCTTCAGACAGATCATGGGGTTTTTTGCCCCAGTGATTTTGCTAGTGTAATAATTTTTTTCTTCTTTCCTCTTTATTCCATCATAAAAGCACTTGGGGAACATTGAGCTGTATCTTCACGTCTATAGAATATGGAAAACTTCCTTTTTTGGAAAGAGCAAGGGAGATCCCTAGTTGTGTGCAGTACTTCTGATCTTGTAAAAGCTAGGTATCATTGTTAAATATATAACACTTAAGCACAAAAATCTTTGTGAGCTGTTTTTTTAGGCGTTTTCTTCTCTTAACTGTGCGTGCATCTTGGGAGAGTGTAGGCTGTTACAAAATGCTGATAACTGACCTACAAAACATCACAGATTATTTTTTTAAAAGTCTTGGGGCTAAGGAGTCATTATCAAGCATTTCTTCAGTGTTTTTTCTTTGCATCAGAGTAATTACTTCCATGAATCAACAACCACTTTGCTTTCATCCTCTATGTGAGAAATGGGGGAGAGTGTTGTTGTCTTTCGCCATAATAATTCTTTCTTTTGCTGA